GATCAAGTATCTTTGTTCCTTAGGAGATCATCTGCTCCTGCTGCTCATTTACCATCTGAAATCATAATCATCTGTTGGTGACAATCTAATCATCTTCACAGTAACTAATTGTGATGTCACAAACAAATGATTATGATTTCAGGTGGTGAACAAACAGCAGGAGCAGATGTACTCTGAAGAACAAAGACTGTAAAGTCATGCACAATTCCCTAGTAATAAAAAGTTAGGCAAGAAAAACAAAGAGCCTGTCCTTTACAGAGAGGTAGGATTGCTCTGAATCTATTTTTTTTATTATTATTAGTTTTTCAGTACTTACTTTGTGACTCCCAGAATTGCTGGAAATAGATAAAGGAAAACTATACTATGGAAAATTGAGGGTGGGGAACATATAAAAACAGTTAGGGTAATTTTTTCCTTGTTAGAATTATAATATATTAAAAACCTGTTACTTTTTCCTTTTATTTTTATATATTTTTGTTCTTCATAGCTCATCTACAACTTCTCCTAGGACACATACTGTATCATCTTTGTGATTACCCCATCCAGAAATATAAAACTAAAATATGTCCCCAAGAAAATGCATTTTGCATTAGGATTGTTTATTTGTTTTGTGTTTTGTTTTTGCTGATAACTGCTTAAGTCAAATCCAGAGAGATAAACGAGCATTTTGTTAACAGTAAACAACTCCTGTACAGGCTGCAAATGCTCGTGGCCTGCCCACAGGGTCTCAAAGTCTCTCCCAGCAGCATCAGGGAAAAAACCTCACTCAATCTTCTTGTTATTTCACATGTGAAAAATGTCTAAGATATCTCAAACCAAGAAACAAATAGCTTCTTGTTTCATTTTTCAGATAGTGAAATGGAGAGGAAAGGTAAAGAAGTAAACCTGTGGGAAGAAGCTTTGCCAGTGAGGAGGAGGAACAGAAGTGAAGTTTGCCACAAGGATAGCTGCAAAAGTACCATGAGAGAGGGGAACAGGAGAAGTTAATTTTCAAGGATATTTAATAGGGAATACTAAAAAAGCATTGAGCGAGTATGTAGGAGGATACAGACTGTAGAGTATTTCTCAGCAAAACCAAACTACATAATCGAGGTACAACAAAATCTGTTCTTCAACTGCACTAAAATATATAATTCTTGCAATTTTTGGTTTTGTTGTACTAAAGTATATGACTTCACTTTACTGTTCTGGTTTTATTTCACACAGTTTCAGATGGGAACGCAGGGTGTTATGCACACAAAGAAAAAGTATCTGCCTGCAAAAGGAAACTGATGCACAATACGTTGTCCTAACAGGACACAATTGTTTTCCTGGAATAAAATTACTGGAAATCTGAATAAGAGCTGCCAAATGGTAGATGTAACAATCTCGGAGCCTTCAATTTTCAAGACCACTGAAAATTAGGTTTTAGGATAACAACAAATGCAAACTGTACACTTCTCTTAAAAGCAAGAACACAAGAACATAGAAGGGAAGAAGCTGCTCCATTTGCGCTCAATAATGATGACACTGCAAGAGTAGATTCACCTACCAACAACCATTCTTCTTAAATATAAACGAGCATATTCATACCTGAAAGGATGACATTTTTGATCTCAAAGAGTGGAACTTGCTTGGAATGGCCTTAAAAAAAACCCTGCACTTCACAGGTGCATTAGAAATCATGCACACTAGTGATTTCTTTTATTCAAAATGAGAAGACAATCCAAATTTCTTCAGTTCTCCTTGACTACAAAGCTCTTAAGTTATCTTGGACTCTGGGGTTTAGGGGAAGATCAACGGGTGCGTGCAGGGACAACTCTTATTAATACTAGTTCTTCTTCAGGTTTTTTTATGCATTCCCTGTGTGGGAAACTAACACATAATATTCTACCAGAAGCAGAGCAGGCAAAGTGCTCACAGGTAAACATGTACTGGCAGACCACCTCCCTACTGAGTATTAGCACAGCATTTCAACAAGCAATCATGCCTATGGCAAACTGGTGAGAAATACCAAGTGATACTGTGTAGATCTTCTCCAAATGCAGCAATCCCCTGACCTCAGTCATGTCCTGAAAATCAGGCTTCTTCACAGAGCCAGTCAGTAGGAAGGTATCAACTGAACCTACTGGTTACCTAAATACCATACAAAAAGTTCTATACATTTTCTATCCTGGAACCTGTAGTTCCTTCCTATACATTACAAATAAATGGTGTGACATTTATATGTTGAAAGATCTTCAGTATAGAAACTACTACAAAGGTTTTCTATATAAAAATATACTTTTAATAGAGTGCCAATTGATACAGCAGATTCATAATTCTATCAGAAAGGCCATTTTAGTTTAGAAATACCAAGAAAGGTTTCAATGAGAAAGTCAAAAAGAAGACCTATGAGCAGTTAATTCAGCCAGGGGTGATATCACATTAACACATTTAAGGAAAAAAAATGCATTTCTAGGTCTTCCATCCTGGGTGAGACTGTAAGGTGAAGAAAGACTGTTCTGTCCTCTACATAACTGTTAACAGATCCATTCTCCTCTTATGCCTTTACATGGAAATCACAGTTAAGCTGTAAGTTTTAAAGAAAATACCCTAGAAGAGAAAGGCCCTTTATGAGGCGAAGAGTTAAAAAAATCAGTAAAAAAACTATACATGCCTGTTGATAGGAGGCCAAACCACCAAAAATGCTATTTTGCAAAAGGATAGCATGGTCCCTCTCAAATTAAAAATTACACACTTTAATCAGCTGATTATTATTAATGTTGCCTCTGGATTGGAACCCTCAAAAAAGGAGGTAAGGAATTAAGCCCAGTGGACACTAAACAGCACTGTCAGAAATAAATGCTCTATCTCTATTGATATGATAGCTACATCTCTTTTGATTTCAAATTTACTTGGAGATCAGAAGAATGGAGGTGAAGGCTTCTAGAAATGCCTTTTGTGCATTAGAAAAGCATCCCAGAATGAAAGCTTGTTTCTGTACCATGGCCTGTGGTGCAAGAAGGTCTGTGAGCAGGTCAATCTGTGAAAAATAAGTTCTTTGGTCAGCACAGGTTTAAAATATAATTTTTGTTGATCTTGTCTCCTGCTGAGTGAGTTTGTCTTTGTGTTCTCCTTCTACATTTGGATTTACATGTATGACTGCCAAAGCTTTCTTGCCAGATGAAGCCTGGGAAAGGGATTGTTTTTTCTTGTTGGTGTAGTAGACGGCTGTGATGTCATCTATAAATATGTTTCCTACAAGACACTGCAAGGATAGGAGAGAAAAGCTAGTGGTCTTATTCTGCTGTCCCAAACTCCAGTATGTTAACATCTGAAGATGTTAACATTTGAAGATATTTTACAGGCCATGTTCTTAGAGATTTTGACAATGCAAACAGAAATTATCTAGAAGTATTGATGGGGATTGATGATAGGGCTGGAATGAAGCAATTAAGAAGTCTTAGATCCCATAGAATCCTTCCTTTCAGGGAAACACAATGGCATGTGCTGAATCCAACATCACTTTAAATAATAGCAAACTTCTGTGTAAGTTGAAGCAGAAATTATTCCCCAGGTCTAGTGACTGAGAAGACTGTATATTTACTGGAACACTACTGAACAACCTTAAAACCTGATTGTAGGACCATGCCCTTCAGACGTCTATAGGCAAAAACCAGAAGGTAGCTTATGTGTGTGTCTGTCTCTGGTAGAATCCTTAGTTGAGAGAGATAATGTTTGGGCCTCTTAAGAAGTTCAAAAGTCAACACAGTTCTAGAGAAGAATCCAGGGCTTGTGGAAAAATGAAGGAAGTACTATTTATATTATCTTTACCACTCTAAACAGCAAAAACCTAGTTACAAAGTCACAGAGGTCTGTCCTATTCGTTACCTATTGCAGTGCAAATGAAGTCAGTGTTCACCAACAAGGTCTCTCAGGCTTTTGTGTCTAGAAGCACAGTTAAAGGAAGAGAGAAACTACCAGCAGCAGAACCTGATCAGAGTCAGGAATTTCTTGAGAAATTTTCAGCCCATACAAGTCCATTGGACCAAACAGGATATATCTTAGCATGCTGAGTCAACCAGCTTATGTCACTGTGAGGCCACTCTATATTATCTTCAAAAAGTCATGGAGATCAGGAGAGGTCTCCAATGCCCGCAGAAAGGCATCATCATCCAAAAAGGCACGTTGATCAGCCTCACTTCAGTCCCTGGGCAAATGATGCTGTAAGTGCCCTGTGGGCACAGAGGAGAAAAAAAGCCATTGGGAACAATCAGCATGAATTTACCAAGGATAAAAACAGCCTCAACAAGCTGATTGCCTTTTATGATAAAATGACTGGATTTATGAATGAAGGGAGAGTAGTGGATGTCATTTACCATGGCTTTAGCAAGGCTTTTGACATCATGTCTCCCACAGCACCCTTGTATCCAAGCTGTGATGTTAGAGTCTCGGTAGACGAACTGAAGTCTGTTTGGATGATCAGGCTTAGAGGACAGTGGTAGACTTTGAGGGACCTAATAGCAATAGCAGCCTTCTAATACCTAAGAAGAGGTTGCCAAAAAGATGGAGCCAGGCACATTACTGAGGTATCTAGCAGAAGAACCGGAGATGATGATAGTCATAAACAAACAGGAGATGTTCTGACTGGGATAAAAGGAAAAAAATTCAATGTGAAGACAATTGAGCATTGGAACAGGCTGCCCAGAGAAGCTATGGAATCTCCATCCTTGGAGGACTGGAGAGAAGACATAAGCAACCTTGCCTGAACTCTGTACTGATGCTGCTTTGAGCAGGCAGTTTACATGACCTCCTAAAATTCCTTACAACCTGAAGGACTCAATGAGTAAACAAAAATCTCCTTGTTCCTGCACTCATTCGTACCTATACTCACACATAGGACACTCGAGTTAATTCATCTAATTGTAATAAAAACCCTAAAATATTTACAGAAAGCATTTCAATTCTCTCAAATAATCTAAATCCTACAGAGACAAAAAGAAATAAGTATAAATATAAATTTAGAAAGCAATACTTACTGTTACTTGTTGGCTCAGGAAACCCAACATTCTGGCCGTTCCAACTCTTGTTTTCTCCAAGCTGAAACAGGTAGAAAAAGACAAATAAGTAAAAGGCAAATTACTCCTTAAACAGAGCATTCCTGTTTATAAATTTAGTTGAAAGATTCTAAAAAGGATGACTTGGGATTGCCACATCTGCTAACAAAACTTTGCTAACCAATCTTAAATTTTGTCTAAAATAGGTTATTTGAAGAATGTACCCTTCATGAATAAACATTAACAACTATTGCCTAACACCGAAATATAAATGTTTCCCCAAGGACTAGGCTCAACTCAATATGTTACCAAATCAGACTTAAAAATCAAATGTTTGAAGCAGCTCTCAACTGAAAACATACACAGAGAACAGAGAAATTACATTCTAAACCAGGAAGATCCTAATATCTGCCTATGAAAGAATGCATAAACACTAAAAAGTACTTTGAGTATAATTGAAAAATATTTACTTGCTAGGAATTCGTTTAGTTACTGAAGTGGAAGCAAAAAAAAGACTGCAATTTTCCATTATTTTAATATATAGACTTTTTTGAGGGAGCTAATTTCCTTCAAATTGATTTTATTATGTTTAATACCAGGTATTACTCTGATACAGAAAAGAGGAGCAATTAGAAGTTCAAAATAGCGCCATTCCTGATGTCTACACAGTAAATAAGATGGCAGCGTTCTAGATTAACGTGTAAATGTGGATAAACAAGGCGAAGCTTCCTCATGAGCTAGGAGCTATTGACAATCGGCTCAGTGAATGTGAAACACATGATCCTTGTCAGATTTCACTAGGATTTTGTATGCAAACAGAAAATCTCACAGCAAAGCAGTCTATATGCCATGACAAAGTCGTAATCATTTGTCCTGGATGACAGGGTTGATTGGAAAGTGGAAGAGACGCGAAGGAGGATCAGCCAGCTGAAATCTGCCTCTGCGTCTCAGAGGTTGCATTAAGTCTGTTTAGATTACTATCATGTTGTAATGAAGACTACTAGATGATATGTTTTCCTTGGGAAAGAGGAGGGAAGAGCATATTATGCAAAGCAGCTGTTCCAATGATTGTTTCCCTGCCTTTCCTCATCATGTACATCCCAATGTGCTTACAGCACAGGCAACATGCAATGTTAGTGGAAAGGACAGTTAGTGGAAAGGGAAGGTAGGTATTAGAGTTGGCTCTCAAATTGGTCACCTGCCTCCATGCATTTTAATTTCATGTAACTCCTTTTATTCGTACCATGAAGCAGATATGTATATTGGAAAACACAGAAGACAACAGTTCTTCAAATGAATAAGCAATATGAAGTCCACAAATAGGTTTGTATTTACTGCTGTCAGCATGGTTTTATCATGAATCCATACTGTGCATCTATGACGTGATCTGAAAATCAGCATGAGCATGGTGCCACAATAGAAGAACATTTCCAACTCTCCTTATTCCTCTCTTTCTACTGTTTATTAACTTGATCACGATGGGGAATCTAACAAGAATTTATCTATCAGTAAGTTATCCTTAGTGCTGCTGTCTCACATGAATGCAATCTACCCTGGTTTTCTTCTCTCTGAGAGAATAATAAGTGGTGAGAAAAAACAAAAAGATGGAAATAGGAAAAAATGAAGACATTACAACTCTCCATTCTGATCCATAGAGCTAAAACTCTGATAGCTGCAAAAAGTCTCCACAGGGCACTTTCAAATTGCTCTCCTGAGAGCTCTGCACAACCATTACTGATCTCTTCCAGGAATCGGATTACCTCAGAAAAGAGCAGAGCCTTTACTTTTTTACATTACTTCAATTACCTGTTTACCTGTGCTGCCATCAGCACCGTGCATGGCTCTTGTAATGCTCTTAGGTCTTCATTAAAACAATTAATACAGCCACATTTTATGCAGCAGGGTTAAGGAAAAAACACTGAATTTGGTTTTGCTTTTTTTTTTAAGGGAGCAGGAAGGGGATGAAAGGACTCAGGGAAGGGGCGGGGAGGGAAGAGAACTTTCCTTTTTTAAAAGTTTCAAAACCAACACAAGTGAAAATTGTCCATTTAGATGCCAACCTGATACGTCAGCTAATCTACATTGGGTCCCATTTTGGATTCAAAGTACCTTCTAATAGTAAAACTTTATTGTGCAATTTATATGGAAGGAATTTTGCAATGCTCTAATTGTTAGAGATCTAAGGGCTATTTTCCCTTTTCTCCAGCACAGTTTAGTTTGAGAATTAAAAAACTTTCCTCTACACAAACTAACTTGTGTATCTGCTTTAAATATGTTCAGTTTGTTATATACAGAAGATAAAGCCAGATGTTCTAGATATTTTATGTCCTTAACCCCAACAAAGCTATAAAAATTTTTCTATGATCTTGAGTACTCCCACTACATAAAATCTGAGCAGTTCACATTTTTTGGATACAGTATCATGTTTGCTCATTGTGTTCAGAACAGTATTAGGCCATTGTATGCTATTCTATCAATTCTAAGATAACTACATCTGCAAGTAGGTAATTAAACCTGTTTTTTTAAAGACAATGCACTTGTA